AGGAGTCTATCGTAAGGCATACATAATAAAAACCATGATTAAAACGAACGTGTGATGTCGTGCGGATCCAAAGTAGATATCTTAATCACAAAATTCGTAAAAAGATACCAATGGAATCTTAATTAATAAGGTTAGGCTACTTCCTCTCATCATGGATCTTAAGTACTACTAATCAGAGAAATTAAAAATTAAACCGATCGCAAATTTGCAATTATATATCCCAGATGGTCATGTAAATTATATTTAACCTACTAAATAATATACTATACCTGACAAAATTATATGTTGCAATTAAATATGCATGTAAATGATACATCATGCATGTACAAAAAGTCTAAAGTTTCTAAACACATGACATGTCTCTAGTTTCTTTAGCGGTACACGACATAAATTCTAACCAACCTCTACGTTTAGATCTAGATTAAAAACTTTGATCTAAAGTTTGAATCCTTTTATAAATATACGTAATTTTTGATTCAATAGTTCTTGTAAGTAAACTATTAATTATTATAAAGTAATTAATACTTGTACTATTATGCATGTTACTGCTTGATTATCTTCCAAACATATGCATGTTACTACTTTACCCAAACAAATATAATGTATATATGCATGTTAGTCTATACTCGCATTAAAAGGATATTTGAATTCGTTTTACATTTTTGCTATGTTTAATTAGTCTACATTCGCATTAATATAAGTTTGATTTTTTCACAAACCAATATTCTTTATCATAAAAATAAAATGACTTATATTTATGTTGGCTCCCTATATTCTTGATTTGATTCTTCTTTTTAGTGGATGTAACTTTCAATCTAAGAATATGAATATAAGCCTTTTTCTATGTTTTATTTTTTCTCTCGTAATATTGCAATGAGCACTTTTCTAGTTTTCTATCTCTCTATATAGAAATGAATCATGAATGTATACACTTAACTGCTCTTCTTCCGTAGCTACGATTTATCTTTACTGATGCAAAATATGTTTATTAGAAAATAATATTAGAGTTAAACGTTGGTGTATATGTTTAAATGATTAGATTCAAGAAGCACTTATAAAAAGACTTATCAAAGAAAATGACAAATTTATTAATTAATTATCTAAATTTTGTAAAACTCTATTTAAATTAGTAATAGACTTGGAATGTGCGGCTTAATTAAGGGTTTTATCTATCACAAGTAAATGAAGAGAAGTAGTGTGTGGTTTCTTCTTTCATCTCTTATCTTTCTAAGTGTATTAAGATATATATATATATACATATACAAAAGAAAAGTATGTACGTAAAGACACAGGCACATATATATAAGAAACCCACAAGTCCACTTCTCTAAGAAGATTTGTTCAGGCACACGCCAAAACACAAAAACAAAAACCTTCAAGAACAAATTAAATTATATATTTATATCTATAAAAAAATGGATCTTGATTTAATACAAGATCTGCCCATGTTGAATTTCCCACCACCCATCAAGATCCGATCCACCAACATCAACAGGGATGATGACGGCGGTGGCGGCGGCTGCACCACTCCCACTTCCTCCGATCACAAGATTCCTCCCTCCACCGCCACTACCCCTCCCCCTCCACCGCAGAAACGCCGTCCAACTCTGTCGCCGTCCTCACTAGTCATGAGATCTTGCAAGAGGAAGCTTATGACGTCATCCAAGTTTGAGATCATCGTCAACAAAGATGAGATAGATCGCTTCTTCTCCTCCGTTTACAATCAGACGATGACGACATCCCCCACCACCACCACGACGGCTCTCACGGTGGCCAGGCGGCGAAGAAGTTTCCGTTCTTGTTCCCGAAGATGATCAATAATTGGAGTTAACCACAATCATGTTAAAGGTTCCTTCATTTCGATAGCTTTTTCGATTTTATTTATTTTATGTAATGATTCTCAACTTTACACGTCGACCCACTCTATAAATATACATGTGCGATCGATCGATGGAATCTTTTTTTATTTTCTTACTAATTTCATAAAGAATTATGAAATTTTTCAATAATCTATTTTTGCTAGCTAGCTGTTTTGTTAACAAATGAACAATTTCAGTAATTCACTGACATCGTAACCAAATTTCCACAGAGGCACTTATTTAGAACTCAGTCTGGAGATATATCATCTGTTAGTAAAAGCCCTATATCGAGTAATAATTAAACGATTAATAAAAAACAAAAAAAATATTATAAAATATGAAATTCAACAATACAGTATATTATTTACTATCTATTCAGTGGCCCCAACAAAAAACTCCTCATCATTAAGAATGGGATATATGAAATTCATGAATTGATCGTGAAATTGATGTAAGCATATAGGTTATGATGGTTTAATTAAATATACGCAAACAATTCCAAAATGGTGAAAATGAGTTGCCTTCGGAAGCAATTATATTTGTCGGCCACGATAGCTTTCTGTTGTGTGTTGCCATGTTGTGCATAATTATGCCTTCCGATCTAATTAACATCACATTATGACTTCTGATGATAGTAAGATTTTTCGTTATAAAAAAAAAGTAATTTACATGGGCATCATGATCTTTTAAGTCTACCCAAAATTTGAAAGGTTCAAATAAAAAGGTAGTTAATTAGGTTATAGAAGATCAATATAAAAAGGTATTTAAGTTTAAAAAGTTACAGCAGCGTTTTAGGTGATGATTTGATTTAGTAGATGAGTCGTTGAGATATGTAATGGTTGCGTGACTTACGTGTGCTTGTGAATGAAGCCACAAATCACGATAAAGATAATGATGCCTTGATCCAACTCTATTTTTTAAATTTACTAGTAAAAAGAAGATTGTTGCTTATTTTGCAAGCTAATTAAGTACCGTAATCAAATAAAGTTGATCGGAAATTCATGTTGATCTCTGACATTTTTGGGCCGACAGGTAGAGCGATAAATACGGCTTTGGGATCTGTAAATTAATGTAATTTAATGTTTCTATGGATGACGTCTCGTAGAAAAATTAATCTAAAATTCGTTAGGAGTGCCCATCCGTCACGTACTCGGAAAATCGGATGCTATTTTGATATCTCAATTTTTTTCATCAAAACAGTATACTTCAATATAGTTGTATGTTCACTCCAAACGTATTGGAAATTTATTAAATCAACAAATACTCTTGCAACTTAATTTCTAAACATGCCAATTTTATACAAAACGTTGAGATTACTTGCAACTTTTTTAAGGGTTTTCTAAATTATTTAGAAAAGCAAATGACGTAGAAATGATTACACACTATGTGGTATAGTTTACTAGAACCTGTTTAAAATATTGCATTGGAAGCAACACTCGTTCATTGTAAATAGGAAATTCACAAACTCTTTTGAAATCCACGTTGTTTCATTGAAAAGTCTTTGTGAATTCAGCTTTTGCTAAAATTATGCGTAGCAATATAAAACAAATTGGTGACGTATATAACCAACTCAATTCACCCTTTGTTGCATGAGTATCATATATAAACAATTATATGGAAATCTTTATATATATGAACAAGATTTTGAGAAAATTAAGACAGACTTCGCATGTTGATGCTTGGAATGATAATACAAAAATATATATTACAACACGTCTCATATCCGATTGGATGATAGTGTAGTAGATAATCTCTATCCAAAAGTGTAATAAGTATGAGAGTTTACAGACAAAAAGGGTTTAAATATAACAGTATAATATAGTTTACACTGAAGATTTACTTTTGTGACGAAAATCTTATGGATAAAGGTGGACAAGCACGATGATAAGATACATATTATTATCTTAATGGGGTTCTATGGTCGTTGTTAATTGAGTTTGATCCGGTTTAATTATTTTATTAGATCGTGCGTAAAAGTACCTACAATAAAATGTAATACTTTTATACACGCCGTAAAAATCAACATGATTGTTATTCCGGTACATTAGATAAATATTTTAGTATCCATACAACATGCTATTAAAAAGGGTTGGCTAGTGGGGCACAATAATTAGCCGGGTTTTTTTGGGTACATTATACCATCGTGAGTTCTGCAGATTTATTTTCTTAAATCATATTAGTATAATTTATACGAAGCTTACAGGATTACAGCTCAATGAATTTTAATTGATTATAGTTACATTAGAAAGAAAAGAGGAAGCTGAATTATGGTTCTGAAACTCTGTTTACCCAAATAATTAACAATGGGAAGCACAAGAGAAAAGAAGAAGTACAAACGGAGGCAAATAATACGTATGTAATTAAATAGCTTGTTAAATTAGGTTACGGGAGTAGAGGTGAAATAAATGGAATTAGACCAAACAATTAAATGGCATTAAAATAGAAAGTATTGAATGGTACTGTTGGCCAAAGAGGAGCCTTGTCTACACATTTAGATAGAGAGGGTCATCTCATTTTCACCACGTGTTTTAGTCTTACTTACCATTTTTTTCTAATAAACAAAAAAACTAACTGTTTTACTGCGTTGACTATTAGAGGTCTTTTTCGAAAGGTATTGGACTTTTTATATGAGTCGTGTGGTATATAAAAGGATAGATTATTACTTAGTGCATCTGTGCATGACTGCTTCGCAGAGCTTACCTCAAACTTGATCAATTAATAAATAGATAAAATCGTCATTTTTTGTCCTTCGTAAAAGACCGGCCCAGTCTGATATTACGATTAACCAATCCAATTAGATTACACCTATATAATTTGATAATACAAGATTCAACTTACACTTTTAGCAATATAATCTATGTTCGAGTCTGCTAATTAAAATCTTTAGTATCTCTGTTTTTCGTTATCCGTATTTATTATGTATCGATTTTTGTCTGCGTTTGATTTTATGATCAGCTCAAAGGTAGGTTCTATTTATTTTGGGGCTAAATAAAATGCGGCCCAACCAAGGATGATGATGATTTTAGAAGTAAAATTCTCGCTTGGATCAGCCCAAAGGTAGGACCCGTTTATTTCGGGCTAAATAAAATGCGGCCCAGCCAAGGATAATGATTTTAGAAGTGAAATTCTCTCTTGGATCAGCCCAAAAGTAGGACCTATTTATTTCGGGCTAAATACAATACGGCCCAGCCAAGGATGATGATTTTAGAAGTGAAATGGTACGAAGAACTTCGATCAACTACTTCTTAGCTTCATTTTTGGGTAATTTATAATTTAAATATACACATCAACTTTTGGATTTGAAGAAGGAACTACAACTACATATAATCCTTCACCCCAAAACCGAACATGTACTCTCTCACTCAGACTTTTTCCTTTATGCTGCTCCTTTCTTCTATATATACCTTCTTCTCTAAATATTAGAGGCTTATAAAATAGAGTAGGCTCGGATTACCTCCATGATCGGTGCTCTACAAAGAGGACATTTCCCTCCGTTTCTTACAAGCTCGTTCGCACATTTTGAGCAAGTACACATGTGCCCACATCTGCAAGTTTCAGAGCATATTTCAGTTTTTAAGTTTATTGAAGCAAAAGTTTGTGCAAAATTGTAGTTCGTTTTACCTATACAAGAGAGCATCAATGTGGTTGTCACAGCAAACGCAACAAGTCCCTTTCCTTACATGGCTCCATCTTGATCCATCCTCTGATGTTTCCGGGCTCATACCTGCTGCATCACTCATTTCTTAAGATACTAAAAATACATAGAACCACATAAATGAGGAACAAAGATCGCCGGACGAAATATCCACAGACCTGGGTCACATGAAGATCGGTTTAAGGCTGCAGAGACCTCTTGTCTAACCGAACGCTGCAGCTCTAACTGCATATCCATGCAGGCTTCGAGCATCCTCTGCATCTGGCTCATTCCTTGCTGAATCCTCGCCACGTCTCCTCTTAGGTCGTTCATTACCTCCCATTCCTAACGCAAGAAAGAAGAGCAATATCTACATTTCATCTTTAAGCAAGCTTATGATATGTCAGCGAGGCTAAAGCCCTCAGTGAAAGGCTTACCATTTCAGACCGATGCATTGAGTGACGAGACCAGCTGGTGTGGTGTAAATCATGTTGCCACATTGGCTGAGGTGGAGGCACGGGTGGAGTTGGAAGCAGTTGTTGTGGCCCATTGATGCCATTAAGCTGGTTATCGTTCCGTACAAACACTTGGCGGTCTGTGTCACGCCCTGGGGAATCTGAGATTGCTGTTTGCAGGTTACCGTGCAGATCCCAGTCTATGTGAGTGTGTCCTCTCCTTTCAGAATATGATTGTATCAGTTGATCCAGACTTTCACGGAAACCACTATGTAGTAGATTAGAAACACTTCTCCTACAAACAGAAAAGACTGTCCTTAGAAACAGAAAACAAAGCCACCTTTTTGTCAGTACGTGGCTGAAGCTTTCTTAGTACCTGCTTAGTAGCTCCCTGAGTTCCATGCTGTAAATGGTGTCATCCTCAGGTGGATGGAACCTACTTAATCTTCTTAATGGGACTACACGGCGAGACCTTGGGGCTTCTGACCGTGTCTCAGGCTGGTTCCCATCATTTTGTCTAGGGGAATCCTCATGCCAAACCCCATGACCTTCTTGTGTGCGATCTTCATCATTCGTAACTCTATCGGCTTCTCGGTGCAAGTCACTGACTGTGGTTTCATCCCAGTTTATATCTGTGTTAGCATTTCTCCACCCATTAAATTCAGTCAACGTTGTTTGCTGCAAATCTAGCCTCTCATCTGCTGAGACATCTTCTTGTAAAACCCTTGTTTGATTATTATCCTCTTCCCAATCTATATCTGCATTTTCTATGTTACTTTCCGACCTAGCCGAGTCATCATGCAAGATGAGACTATTATTCCCTTGTATAGAAGAAGTTGAACTCTCATCAATTATGCGCTGAGAATTCTCAGAAGTTCTAGCAATTGCTATAGCATTTGTCGAATTATTGCTATTGTCGCTATCAGTGTTGCTGCTGTTATCATCGACGATACTTTCCCTCCCGTTATGAAACCCTTCCCTGTGACAGAATCGGGAATTGAGCAATTATCAGCGAGTAAGCTAAATGCCAAAACGTACTTGGTGTATTAATAAGATGTAAAGACAAATGCAAAACACAACAAAATATACCACAAAGAATAAGGACAAAAATCATTTTATACATTATCTGCAATGAGATGCAGGAATATCTAAATTCGCATTTGTAAGATCCTTTACGGGTTTGTAGTATAGTTACATTATTATGACGCACTTAATCTGAACATTTTGAGTTAAAATCTTATTGCTGACAAGAAAGTGGAAGAAACTGTATGAGAAAAGAAAATTGTTTCACCCATGTACAGGAATTAGAAGGAATTCTTACCTCAAACCAGAAACAGTTTGCCTCTCTCTCAGCTGAAGAAGTTCCCTTGAAGCCATTGATGGAGTTCTCTCTTGATCTGCAGGTCTCTCGTTCCGCAAGAATCTTCCTCTAAGAAGTGACTGCAGAACAAGGTTAAAGGCATTAGAAATAAATCTGCAATGACCTATATGAGAAAGAAAGGGGGAGCATTTCATTTCACACAAGCAAACATATATGAATGTGGTAGTTTAAAAGCTCACCTGAATCCGGTTGCGGTGAGCAAAATCAGACACTGCACGATGCTCCAACAAGCCCTGAAGTTCCCTCTGTCTCTCTCTTTCGGCCCTCATGAGCAAATCAAGTAACGCCTGCCTTCCTCTTAGCCTCCTCAAATCTCGACGAACATTCTGCGGTTGCCCTTCTTCATGGTTAGCAGCAGCTACACGGACCCTGTCAACTTGTGCATTATCATGACTCCTATCAGCTTCTGAAGTAAGAGACCTCTGATCCTCTCTCGGCGTTGCACGAGCTCCTCCTCTCTGCTGACTTGTCATTTGCATCCACTCCCTTATAATCCTGACTCTTTCCCGTTCACTATCACCTAACCACTCCCCTCTACGGTTATTGTCTCTCTGCCTCACATTAGATGAATGGTCGTTGATCCCACTCTCCATCCATCCACGCACAATATGCCTAACCCTCTCCCTCTCACCATCGCCAAGATCAGGAGACTGTTCCCTACTTGAAGGATTATTATCCTCATGCTCATTCCTATCACGCGACCAAGACCCGTACTCATTCTCACTCTCGCTCGAGTCTCTCAGACTCTCGTTGTTCTCACTCACCTGACTCTCAGACGCAATAGAGCTAGACAGATCAGTAGTATCAGAGTCAACACTCCTTTGATGCCTCAATCTTTCCCTAACCTTTTCGCGTGCCCTGTTAAGCACATGCTCGTCTTCCAACTCCCTCCACATCTGCAAGATCCCGGATGATGCCTGAGTGCTAGGCCTCTCACTAGCAGCACCATGACGCCTTGAAGATGGAGATTGAGACTCTCTAAGAAAAGACGAGTCGAGCATGGAGACCGTTTGCAAACCAGCCAGCGCGATCAACTCGGACTCACGGTTCCTCCTCTCAATGGTGGTGATCATATCCTGAGCCTGCCTTGCAGCCCAACGGCTCAAAATTTGGGATTGGCGCCTTCTCGCAGCTGATGATTCAGCCAAATTATCCCCTTCGAGACCAGACCTTCGTCTCCTTCTCACAAGCTGATCATCCTCCTCGTCCTCGTCTTCCTGGTTGCTGCAGGACCCGAATGAGATGCACTCGTCCAAGTGCCCGCGCACGAATTCCCCCAAACCTCGCTCGAATTCGGCATGAACGTCATCTCTCGAATCCGATTTTTGTTGCAGAGGCTGAACACTAGTCATCCTCAAGCTTCAATGGAAACTCCAAAAACTTTAAAAATCCCTTTTTTTGGGTCAAATCCGATTATCAAACCATCAAAGTAACTCCATCACGCTCAAAATCTAAAACTACGCATCACATCTTCCCAGAATTTCCGAGAATATCCAAGATTACACAAAATCCCCATGTTGAAACGATTCGAAGTTTCACCCCCAAATGTGCTCCAATCCATCTCACCTGTCGTTGATCCCAATCATCAGCTGAATTGAACAATTAACTCCAAATTTCACTTCCGATTAAAAAAAAAAAATTAGAAATTAAGTGACCCAAAATACGAAATTCAGATTAAGGAGACGTACCTTCGTGTTCTTCGTTAATGGTGCAATATAAATAAGAAAAAGATGACCCAAGCCTCTGTAATAAGGAATTGCACAATAAAATTTGGAGAGGGATCGAAGATGAAAGAGTTATTGGTAATTTATAAATTGTAAAAACTAGAAAGAAAGAGAGGGAGTTTTCTAAGAGAGCGAGAGAAACGAATATTTTAAGAGAGAAGGTGCAAACGGCAGATGGAGAAAACAATTGTCTTCTTCTCGAAGTTTTTTAAATCATTTAACAAAATTAATTTAATTTTCTTGGAAATGAATATCTATTTTTAATCAATTTGTCTACTTTTTCGCTTTTGTTAAATTAAAAATTAGGAAAGTCAGGCGAGTCTCGAGGAAGCGTAAACCCGTCTACGATTGTTACACATGTCGCACTTATCTCATCCCACGTCATGTATTACTCTTTAAATTGTTTCTTTAAAATCGTGGTAAATATAAATAAAATGAAACACGCTTAAGACGATTAAGACCATATCCAATCCATATTTTAAGTGAGGGATTATTTATCTGTCAGTATCAATACTTTGGTGTTAGTAATAAAAATTTGGTTGAAACAACAAATATGAGGGGTTTTGTTTGCTAATTTTGGGTAATTTGAGTAAACTACTCTCGATAAATATAATTGTTTTTTTTAAAAAATCTTGCCTAACAACTACTATTAAGTTGCCCAATTGAGATATATGTACTTTAGTAGCTAATCAGATTTCTTCATACTAAAAGCTTTAGTATATGAGAGAGTGCGTTTAAGCATAAGCAGACAAATGCACCAAAACCTGAGTTGGCTCTATTATTATTTAATAAGAGACTTGAGCCGAAAGGCACACATTACGCAAACCAGAATATAGAAACTAACCAAAAGATAACAAGGCAGAAGTTTTGTTGAAAATACCAAATTCTTTGACAGCAAAACAAACCTAACATCCATTCTCAAACACAACGACGACGCTTTGGTAAATTTTCAAGTCTCTCTTGTGGAACATAACATGATCAACTCGAGATCTTTGGAGACTTCAAGCAACGAGCATGTTTGAAGATGAAACTCGAGAAATCTCTCTCTTCTTCTAATGCTTTGTACTCTGCAAACTCGAAAGTTTCAAGACTTTCCAACAAACACTCAGGAATCGAACTCTCCTCATTGCTCCAGCTAATCGGTTCTTCACTCTCCATAAAATCATGCTGAGAGTAAAAGAAAGAAGAAAGATATAGTAAGATTAAAGGCTTTTAAACCGGAAAAGAATCTTCCAAGAAACTTACATGGAGCCAGAGATGGAGGGTTCGCAGTTTAGGAGAATCATTGAGCAACCGGACAAGTAACTTGACCAATAATCGTCGCATCTAATTAGGGTCAGCTGTTCAAGCTGGTCGAAGACAATACCAAAACGGTACATAGACTGCACACAAGTAAATAACAAGAAAATCTGATTTAGTGTTTGTATAAATGAAATCATACGATAGAGAAGTAGCAAGTGATAAGATGTAAAACAGATTACCTCTTGGTCATTGTTGGAAAGCACTTCTACTGAGAGACGTTTCGCAGATGTGATTGCTTCGACAAAGTGTTGGAGACCTCGGAAAACATAGATCTCTGCCTCTTCCAGCTGTGGCATGTGCTTAATCGAATAGGTGAATCTGTCTCTAATGTCCTCAACTCTGAAATGCTTCAAAGACGGTGTATCTATCGTCACAGATCCATCACCAGAACAGTGATCTTCTATCAGTAACGAAAACCTCTGCAAGGACGGGTGATTAACAACCAACACTTCCATATTGTCACCCTCTTCTCGTGCAATAGTCAGATCTTCCAGAGCAGGGCAGCAAGGCAGAAGCGATCCAAGAGAATCTTCATCCCCGCATGTCACACTTTCAAGCTTCAAGGTTTTCAGGGAAGGGAGACAAACCCTTGGAGGAACATCCAAGACAACCTGAGTCCCTTCAAGCTTCAAAGTTTCGAGAGTTTTGCAGGTGTATAAACTACTCGGCAATGCAACTTCGAGGTCGTCATAGGAAGGGCCACAGTAGATAATTAGCTCTCGTACGCCGCGAGAGATTGCAATTTCAATCCACAGTCTGATATCCTCAGGTCGAAACAAGCGATGATCAAAAGCAAGGCTCAAGCTTTCGATGATGGGAGCTCTGTGTAAAGGCAGCTTCTTGTGAATGAAATCTCGATACCTTCGTAATGAAGACACGGAAACGTCATCATCAGGGTCTTTGTAATCAATGTACTCGAGCTTAGGCACCCACATCCAAAGATACTCCCATCGCTTAGACAGAACGCTAGTGGATACTGCGACTTTCGTCGGAACATACGACAGTATCTTAATCAACAAGTCATCAGCCAACACACTGATCCTGTCCATGTCTTACAACTGCAGCGAATCCAACAAAAACAAATGGTAGTACCATGTAAACAAACAAAGCCACACACAAAGACATCGAAATGCTGGAAAAGGGACAAAAAAACCCTAGAAAAAAACTTAGAAAAAACCCTAGAAAAAAACCTGTCAAGTTCAGTGGAGGAGGCTCTATTTCTTCACCGGAACCAGAATCAGAAGGTTAAATCAGAAACGATCGGAGAACTAAGAAACATTTGTCGACAACGACGTTCCCATTTCGCTTCTGAATTCTGTCTAAGCAAAGACCAGATATCGGAGTCGAACATACCTATACCTACTTGTCGCCTTCAACACTCACGAAAGTCATCCTGGGCTTGGGCCTGGGCCTGGAGAATATGAATCACCTAAAAATCTACTGTTATTAAAATATTATGGGCCCATAAAGTTTAGGCCTCAAGAGTTTAGAGAATATCTACTTTCCTAACGCGGTTTTGCCGCAACTTCAGTTTCCATTAAAATCAAAACCTCCACACTCTCTCGGCCAGTCCACCGCACGCACACACTCTCACCGACACCAATTTATGAATAAAACAGATTCAGTTTAGAATCTGAACTGTCTTTCTCATCCAATAACCGGCTCACTTTTACCCGGCCCTACCAGCATTCAAACAAACAGTTTTTTTTGGGTACAAAATCGACCCGGTTAAGAAGCTTCCGGTCGGGTTAACACACCCATATGAGAGAATAGAGTGGAACAAACAACAAACATTCTATTGGAAACATGTTTAACAACAATTAATCCAGAGAAGTCAAATTCATTTGTCGTCATTTTATAACCAAAGAAGAAGACATTTGAAAAAGATGGAGACCCCAGACGCGGACTCGAGATTATACACAAGGCGGACCACAGGTTCTCCGAACCAGATAAGGTCGCTTTAGCATCAGATCTCGCCAGTCCCAAGAGGTTGCCTTGATGTGTCTCCGGAAGCCCATGCTTGATAGTCTTTGGAGAGCTGGAAAACGAGTAGAGGAGCATCTCAAGATTAATGTTGGGATGACTTTAGCAGGAAACGGAATGTGCAACATGCACATTTTAGCATCACATAAATACAACATTCAAGTCTTATAGGGTTTAGCAGCCATCGGGTGATAAAGATATCTTCAACTCAAGAAAAGATTAATCTACTTTGACTAGCTGCATTGAAGCCCAAAAAACCAAGTTCACGAAGCAGCTCAATCATGAACATCTCTCAACAGTCAACACTCAAGAGAAAAGCTCAGATGTGACACTCAAGGAATCAGGATGATCTTGCGGTTTTAAAACATGGTGGCCATAGAGAAACAAAGGATAGCTTAAGTGATCACGTTGATGCAGAATAAAGCGGTAATAATATAGATACGTTTCCCTGCATACCTGAGACAAAAATCGTGGTAGCATGAGTCTGAGAATTTGGTCAAGAACTTGTGTCCCCGTCGCCTCTATTGCTCCCACTGGGAAGACTCTAAATGCAAAAGGAATCTCGATATTGACCTAACCATTGCCAAACAAGTCAGAAACAAACACCACGGAGACAGCACTCATTAACTACGCACTTAAGCTACCTCAATGACTGCATCTGAAGTAATTTGTTGCTCCGATGAACCCTCCTGAGTGCCATCACATGATACCCGGTTCACCATAGAAGCTGCATGACTAGTAAATAGCAAATGTTAAACCATCACCAAAACGCATACTCCCTAGATATTATTGATCAAAGTAACTACACCATGGGCATATTTTCGAAATGGGATATGCTTACCATCAAATTTGTCATTTTGAGCAACCACAACAGGGGATCCCTCAAGCTACATAGCACAAGCAACCATCACGATCTTAGCAGACAGTAACTCTCATATATGTACAAATCAATTCGATTCGACTGATGTCTGTAAGACACGAATTCTTCTCTCTGTTTGAAAATTCTATCATTCCAATTAAATCCACGAAGATTATTACCTTGCAGGACAAGAGCTTGATGCAGCAGCCATTAGGCTGTTCTTCGACCCTGACAAGCAAAACAGGGCAGACTTCGAAGTTGAAGAACTTAAAGGTGTAAACATAGCATCTGAACGTGTTATCATCAACTCTCTCGATCCTCTCCGCATCAAGCACCGAGTACTGACTTGCAGGTAAGCTCATATACTCGACTGCAACCCAAAAAAGAAAAACAAAAAAGCAAATCCGAATTCAAGATTCAACCTTCGACAAGAAACAGAAATTTAGATCAAGCGAAATGATTAGTCGCGCTGAAGTTACTTAGAGGTCGCTCGAGCTGGCGAACGGAGACGGACTGTTTCTGACGAGCGACGAATCGGGCTTTGGGGGAAGAACTCGAGGAGACGCGAATGGGCGGAGTCGAAGATGAGGTGAGAGAAGGTTTAGGTGGTTCGTCAAAGGATGATGAGCAGGTGATGGTGAAGGAGAGAGATGGATTCTTAGGATTTCGATTCGTCTTCTTCGCCGAGAACGACAAGGAGGTACTTCTAAGAGTAGCTGAGCTCAACGCCATAGCTAAAACGACAGCGTTTTTTAGAAAGAGAAATGTTTAACGACTAACGCCTCCTCAGCTTAAACACAGAAGCGGAGGAAAGAGAGATGATAAGATTCTGGGCCGACGGCGATCGGGAGGTGGCACCACCATCACCACCAGCTTTCCACGGCGTATATTAGCCAGGTGAAGTTGTCTCGTTACAGTTAAAATGCGCCGAATATCAAAAGCAAGCCCAATAAGAGCCCGTGAAAATACGAAATTCGTTTTCGTTGGGCCACCAACAAATTATTAACTAGAGTATCGTGTGCACGTTAGCACAATCGGTTG